GCTCTGGGCACCCCGGCTCCCTGCAGGCCCGAGCCCAGTTCCTGGCCGGGCCTCGACTCCCGAAGACCGAGCCGAGGGTAAAGAAAGATTGCTCCTTGGAAGTTTCAAGAATGGGGAAATTGCTCTTAGGTTTCCACCTGGATATTTGGTTTTCTACAGATCTCTCTGGGGAGGGCTGGGCTCCATTCCCTGAGCAGGAGGCCTGAGCTGGTGACAGGCAGGGCAGCCTCGGGTGGGTCCCCCTCCCGGGGATGCGCCTTCTCCCAACTCCTGCAAGGGGCAAGGTCAGGACCTGCCTGGCACCTGTGGTGGCCTTTCACAGGCACAGAGGAGCACTTCGGCCTGATAAAGTCCTGGGCCCTCTGATTCCTGACATGCCACGTGCTCCCAAGGAGCTCTGAAATAAGAGCGGTGTTTGGTGTTTGGGGATCCACCCTGTGGGACCCTACTGGCTTCTCCGCCGTGAGCTTCAGACCAGGTGGTGTAGGACCAGAGAGGGGCCAGTCCGGTGATGTGCAGGCTTACCTCAGAGCTTACCTGGACAGCCGGAGATGTGGCAGGATTGTATACGTTACCCCTGTCCTTTGAAAAGTTTGTCTAGTAGGCGAGGAGTTAAAAACTGAGTTCAGAGAAGAGTAAGAAGTGCACACTGGCCATGCATGAACAGAGCTAAATGATGCAAAGCAGTGGGGTGTCGGGCATGGGAGAGCATCCCGGAGGACAGTCGGCAGGGCACACTGAAGGAGACGATGGAAAGGTTCCTGGGGAGCTTCAGGGGCCCGTGCGAGTCAGCGGCGTGGGGCTGACAGCTTCAGTACCTGGAATGTGTTCCCGCATTTCTGGGGGCCAGGAGCTCTTGGGGAGCCTCTCTTCCTGGCTCTCCCCTGGCCACCTTCTTGCTGTGTCCTCAAAGTAGAGAGGGGAGCAGGCGGGAGGAGGAGAGGCCTGAGCCGTTCACCTGCTCCTGGGGCCCAACCCTCCCGACCTCATGGAACCCTAATCACTGGGCACACTGGGGGCCAGGACTCCAGCAGATGAATTTGGAGAGACGGAAATACTCTGTCCAAACTAGACAGAACCTGCTTAAGGTTTCAGAAACCAAAAGCACTAGTGGAAGACAGCAGTTATTGTATCATTCAAATGTAGTTTGGCTGTGATGACTCCAAACGGGTCTGGAACAAAACTGAAGTAGAGCTTTAAACGTGAAGGGTAGGAGTAGGGCTTCACCTAGTGAGTACTAAGTGTCCCTTAACTCTCCTGAGTTGAGTAAAAGTTTTTTTTCAAAGATTTCTTACCATCATGTGTAAAACAAATGTGTTACCAACAAGGGGATGTTGTCAAGAACCCACGTATGCGGGGGTAAGAGACGCTCAGACTAAACTTACATAATTATGATGTTGCAAAATATGATTCAACAACCCAGTAGAGGGGAAAGTGCAGACATTATTAACGCCTCTGTTTTATAGAGTGAAAGACTGAAATTTAAATGACAGAGGTTAAAGCCCTCTACATCAGAGTACTGTTCATCCTTTAGAACATTGTGTGTTTGTATTGACTGTTTTTGTTGAGATTGAGGTCATGGACCACAGAACTTACCCACTGAAAATGAAAAGGTGGCTCAGTGTCTATTCACAAGCTGTGGAACCATAACTACAATCCATTGTCAAACATTTCCACCCCCCCGAAGAAAAATTCTGCAACCTTGAACCAGTCTCCCCAAACCCTCCATGCCCCCAGTCCTGGACAACCGTTGCTCTAAGTTCTCCCTCTTTATAGTTACACATTCTTGACATTTCATAACAAAGGAGCTGTGCTATATGCAGCCTTTTGTAACTGACTTCTTTCATTTGGTATGAGATTTCCAAGATATACCCATGTTGCAGTATGTCTCTTGATTTCTTTTTATTGCTCAGTAATTCTGAACCTCATATGTTCAGCGAGTCGGAGACATATGTTGAGAGACAAATTGGCACACTTTCGGTGGGTGGAGAGCATCGGGTGTTAAAGGAATGCTAAATTGTATCACAAAGAACAGTTGCAGAAATGGGCAGTATTTAACGTAAGAACAAGAGCATATCGATGACCTCATAGCTTCTTCCCCATGACTGAAGAGATGTTGTCAATCAGAAGAAATTGCCTGGCTTCAAGGCAGTATATTTAGAAGTAATGGGAGGAAAAGCTAATTCCTACACAAGGAAATGGGTGACCACGCATTCCCTAGACTAGATGAGCTCATGCTGGGCATGGTGAACTCCCAGGATCACCTCCAACCTGGGTATTCTGGATTACCCAGAAGGCCAATGGTACTGATATCAGAACTGAGAATGCTGGGAAATGCCAGGCTTCCAGTGTTTTTCCTACTTAAAAAAAAAGTAGAAAAGGAAAGTTTGTCTGGGATGTGTCGGTTTCATGTTTTGATAGATTAGTGTGAGGATACAGAGGAACATAAGAGGAAGGACACCGAATTAGACTGAATTAGGATAATCTGTGTGTGTGTGGGGAGAGAGAGGGGGGGGGAGGGAGAGGATAAGGAGGAGAACAAGGTCAGAAGGCATCCTGTGCATCGGGCTGACCATGTGCTTTTTCATGACCCCTCTCCATAACTTGCCTTGCAGTTTTTTCCTTTCTAAAGGAGAGGAAAGAGTTCAGTTTGGGGATGCAGTGGGAATATGCATGAAGACACAGGGGTAGCATGACATGCACACTCTCGTATACCTAGAGATACAAAGCCCCCATCCCCAGCCAAAGCTGTATGCATTAGAGATGTGCTGAGATTCTAGGCAGAGTTTAGAAACAAAGGCCTGTTAAAGTAATGCTCGGTGGCTTTTTCAGGAGAAGCACTGTGGATGTACAGCCGTCTCGGGTCTGAAGGCTTCTGCTCTGCCTGGACTTCCCTCCCACAGGTGCCCTAACCCTGGGGCTGAAGCTTGTGGAGAAGCTGCTTGATGCGCACACTTCTGTGCTCTGATGGTCGCTGCATCATGGGCAATATTCAGTCTCCCTCAAGTAGCTTCAGAGACCGTGACCTGGTCAAGCAAGAACATCAAACATAGGTTAAAAATGAGCAGTGGCATCAAGCAACAGATGAGACTCTGAGCTCACATGAATTTGATGCCGGACAACATTAGGAGAATACTTTGGGAGGCTTGATCCTGACACAGCGAAGATGGCTTGAAGTCACTGTTGGTGAGTGAGGTACAGTGAAGGTACTGTAACACATCAGTAAAGGAGCGGTGACTCCAAGGGAGAAAGAAAACGTGACTTTAACTGCATCACTAGGGACAAAGTACAGGGAAAGAGCTGACAATGGGAAGGTAGATGGTGGTCTAGCCATTAATCAGCTAGTCTTGGAGCAATTCAAGCTTCTGGTTGCAAGTGCATAGCTCTCTGAAAGTCCTTTAAATTCTAGTTGCAGTATCCCATACAATAAATAAGACTGTGTTGAGCTGGATCACGTACAAGGCCTCAGTAGCTCCCAGTTTCTATGAGTCTATCATTTGAACAAAACAAGACGGTTGATAAATACCACAAAGCACTTCATGTGTTATGTTGAACAGAAAGCCTTGCCATAGCACTCCCCAACCTTTTGGGCACCAGGGACCTGTGTTGCAGAAGATATTTCTTTCGTGGACCAGAAAGTGAGGGGGGAGCTTTGGGGTGAATCAGAGGAGCTCCAACCTAGATCTCTGGGACATGCACTTCATGGCAGGTTCATGCTCCTGTGAGAAGCTAACACTCCTGAGTGATGGGAGCTACCATAAGTATAGGTAGAACTTTGCTCGCCACTGGCACCACCTCCTGCTATGGAGCCCCAGTCCTAGCAGGGACCCTTCCCGACCCACAGGAGCCAGGAATAAGGAGACTGAGCAGCTGACACTGAATGCAGAGTGAGATTGTAATGGCCAGGGTGGACATGGGCGGGCAGATGCAGATCTGGCTGGTGCCACTGCTTTGTCTCTTCTGGAGCATCATACAGGGCTGGGGACGACAATTTCAGGGTAGCAAGAAAGAATGTGGCTTCCTCTCTTTCCAGCCCTGTCTCTGCTCTGCTTTCAGAGACCGTGGTCTGTGGGCCCCATGCTGTTTCCCTGGCCTTGGTGTCTTGTCCTGTGCTCACTTTTGTCCTTCTCCTCATGCTCCTCCTCTCCATCAGGCTGTGTACCAAGCCTTCAGACACCCACTGTTTCTCCCCTGGGAACCTGCCTGGCCTGTGTCTGCCCATTCTGCTGGGCTCACCTGGAGGAGAGCACAGTAACCAACAACCCATCCTACCATAAGTTCAGGTCAACAACTTGAGGTCATCCTTGATTCTGTCCTGTTCCCCAAATCCTCTGCATTTAATGTGTGTTGCTCCAACTACATCTAGTCAACTGATCACATCCTGGTTCATGGTATCTATGGAATACCACAGTAGCCTGCTGTCCACCTCTCCGTTTCCACCTTTCCACCTTACTACTTTCCATGTAGCACCCAGCCATTCCTCCTCAAATGTCCCAGTTACCCATCCGTTCTCCACCTTACAGGAAAATCCCACCTAAAGTTCTCAGGACGTCACACAGGGCTTGACTACCCCTACAAACCATGAGCTCCCTCCCCTGCCCAGCTGCTTTCCTGCCACACCACCTTGCTCTGCACCCACAGCCTCCCTGACCCTCACTGACCTCTCGGCTCATCCTCTACCTCGCCAAACCCACAGGGTCCCTGTGCTCACAGTCCACCTGCCTGAGACACTGTGCAGCTGCGTAGCTGACTGACTCACACCCTTGCTTCATTCAAATCTTTGCTCCAAACTGTCACATTTGCAGAGAAGTATATTCTCTCTCCACCCACCCATCAATCTTTACTCCTTTACTACGCGCTCTAATTTCTTTATCACAATTGTTGATTATCTGTCTTTTCTCACTTGAATCTAAGCTCTCACCATTTTGTGTCCAATACCTAGAGCAGCAAAATCTATAGCAAATAGCTAAAGAGCAGGAGTTAGATTCAGAGTGTAAATTTCCCTTTCTAAATCCACGAACTCTGAGGAATTATCATGAGCCAGGATCTCTCCTTAGCATTGAGAATAAGATACTGCAGAGAGACCACATGGTAAATGAAATAACTCAGACCCACAAGCTTAAGTATCCCGTGCTTTATCTCCTGTGAGAATCCCAAATTATAAATAAAGTGCAAACAAAGAGATAGATAATAGGAAGAAAAGAGGTCGATCTTTCCACGAGAAGGCACTTGTGAGATGGAAGGTAGAAAGGAGGTGAAGGGAATGAAAAAAGGAATGAGGAAGTCTTACGTACATGTACCAACTCCACACAAGGAATGCAAACACATTCTAATCAAAAAGACAGATTCCATTGATGGGGAACTGGCAGCAGGGGTGCGAGCGAGACATTAAATAAATCTGCAAGTAGATCAATTAAATGAGATAAAATAAAAAAGAGTTTTAAGTGCAATAAAGATAAACCAACAGTGTTTCACACAAGAGTGCATCAGATCGGGTCTTTTGAGAAGTAGAGGCGGAGACGGATGTGGGATGAGCAGGGATGGACAGGCAGACACTTCCAGTGGGGTGAAGTCTGCAGCCTGGGCTCTCGGGATGGACAGAGTGCATTTCCTACAGGAGGCCCTTCGGACCATGGCTCATCTCTGAGCAGGGCCTAGCCAGACCTTCACGGACTTGAGCAGGAACTGCTGCCAGGAGGGTGCAAGTGGAGGAAGGGGGCTGTTCTGGGCGTCACCTGCTCAGTGGTGAGCCTGGACAGCCAAGCAGGGTGGTGCTGGTGACCGTCAGCCGAGCACACTCTTTCTCGGGTGGTCTGAATTACACAAGGTGTCCACGGCAAGGGGAACCGTGAGAGGAGACCTGGGTTCTTTCCACTGAGAACTGGATGATAAAAAGAAACCAGGTTTGGGGGACAAAGGGTCCAGTCTCTTGCGGGTAGGAAACAAGTATGAAGTCCCTGCTCTAGGCACCCAAGTTCATAGGACCAAGTACATTGTGAGGTGCAGGAGGGAGGAGATAGAAGAGGAGAGGCTGCAGGGTCGGCAGGGGCCAGATTTCTGTCGAGCTGACCTAGCCACATTAGAGCAGTTTATCATGAGGCTACTGTATACTTCTTCTCAGCGGCCATTTGTGTCAGTTTCCTTCCCAGAGCTGGAAACACCGGAAGTGTCGCCATGACTAAATATCCTGAGGAATAACAGTTCCTGCACTCTGTGGGCTCCTGAGTCTGGCACTGCTTTCTTTCTGCTTCCTGAGATCAAAGATGAAGAGCACAATAGGAAAAAGAAGGAGATGAAGGCAGAGGGGAGCAAGATGCAGGGTGTGGATGAAATTCAAGAGGGAGAAATGTCTTTCTTCTCAAATTCCTGATTCAACTTTTACGTGACGCCTGATGGGTGAAGATAACATGTTATATATATTTTTGTGATTCCATCTGCCTTGTTTTTCAATGATTCTCATGCTTCCTACTTTTTAAAAAATAAGCCTAGGAATAAGGACATGTTTTCCCTTGTCCCAGTGTTTGACAATGCCAAAATCTCTGAAGTCCAATTTTAATAAGGAGCCAAGAGCCCTGGGCCTTGCTTAAAGCCTTTTTTCAGGGCTTCTCCACGAAACAGATACCTGGCTTTATTGAAGCCTGTGTGTTTATTTACTATGTTGGATTAAAAAATAGCTGTGTTGGCACCTCCCCCTCTGTTTATGCTTCCTGCTGGCTCAGCTGTTCTGCTTTCATGGGAGCTCCGGGCCTGTGCTGTGAAACTGACATGTGTCTCTTGTTCAGCTCAGCTGGGACCACGACAGAAGGGCTGCAGGAGGACCAGGAGTAGGAGCCAGGCCAGAGGAGCTCATTCCCAATTATGTTAATGGCAAGATGATTTCAAATAACAGCACGGAGGAGCTCAGCAACCATATGCTGAATAGCAACACCTTATTAGGCTGCATACGGACGAGGGATGAAAAGGGACGAAGTGTGTTGTATTAAGTTTTATGTTAAATATAAGGAGGGGAAGGGGTGGAAGGGAAGGGAGGAGAGTGGGGAAAATAGATGAAGCAATATATCTCATGCCCAGGTACAAATTCCCTAAGATGAATGCTGTCATCATGTAGATCTAAATTGTACCAATAAATGTGTTGCTTGAAAACGCAGAGTTTTAACATTTGAGCTCATATCTACCTAACTTGATCATTAACATTGTCATATTTGTTTCATTTTTTTATTATACACTTAATTAAAATTGACTGCTTCTTCATTAAAAAAGGTGTAAGGGAACCAGGCCATGGATACTTATTGAGGATCTACTCTTAAGTGAAATAAATAAGTCACACAAGTGTAAATACCGAATAGTTTCTCTGGTGTGAAAAACTATAATAGTTCACAAGATCCTAATGGGATAATTAATAGTGTGAAACAGGAATAAAAGGGCTAAAGGTGTAGGGAAAGTGGGAAGGGTAGGGGAAAGGGAATAAGGGAAAAAAATATAAGAAAATGAAAAAATGGAAATAAAGTGTCTGTAAATGGGGAGGGGAGGGGGGGTGAAGGGAGGGCAGGGACAAGGGGAAAAAATGAGAACCAAGACCTGTCATGTAAAGGTATAGGATCCCAGTAATGAATGTAACTGTATTGTATACCTAGATTGTACCAATAAACTCAATAAAAAGAAAAAAAAGTAAAATAAAAATAAAATTCCAATATCATTGAGTAGGGGAAAATCATATTGAGATTCAAGACATGCCGCTGTTCATATTCTCCATAAACCCACCCTCGAATGGCCTGTACCATGGAGAGTCCACCAGCTGAACACTGGAGATCCAATCCTAAATATCCTGCAAGAGAAGCGATCAGAGAAGAGTAGATGTGTTCACCTAAAGCCTTGTCACCTGGCTCCTCCGAGTCCCCCTGACACCCAGGAAGCACACTGGCTAATGCAGGAGCCCAAGCCACATGGTCCCGGGACTCACTTCCTCTTCAGGTGGCTCCCAGTTCCAGGATCTGCTTGCAGCTCCTGCTTCTGACCTCAAGGGGCTCTGACCCAGGGCCCCTGGGGGACGCTGTTCTCTACGAGCAAGCCTAGGTGCACAGCCCTGCACACTGGAAGCGCAGATTTGCCAGGAAGATCTGCTTGGCCCTTGCTCCTCAGTCACAGGATAACCACCCCCTTTCGTCCTCACTGTCTTCCAGACCTCTGGCCTGCACAGCTATGGGCAAAGTGGGGTTGCTTGTTTTATTTTGTTTGTTTGTTTGTTTTTGCAACCCTGGGGATTGAAATCAGGACTTTTGCACAAGCTACATCCTCATCCTAGGACCCCTCCACTTTATTTTATTTTGAGACAGAACTCACTAAATCATTCAGTTATTCAGGCTGGGCTTGAACTTGTGATCTTCCTGCCTCATCCTCCCAAAGTGCTGGGATCACAAGTGTGCACCACTACGCCCCCCTCAGAGCAGTATTTTGATCTACAAAATGCTCCGGTTTCTTTAGGAAACATCTCCTTGGAGCATCTTAGAGGAAGCAGATAGGTTAGGATGGCAGGGTACTTTCCAAGCATTTCTTCATCCTAGAAAGGAAAAGTCAAAATAATTATCAGCATTTTATCTTCACCTCTGTTTTTACCTTCTTTTTTAAAAAACAGACAGAGGACAGGTCTGTACTAGACTATGCCACTAATCATTACTTTTTCAACACTATCAAAGAAATATTGTTTTGAGAAAGTAGCTAAAAGTTATAAAATAGAACCAGATGATTGCAAAAGGAAACCTAAAGTGAGGCACAGGTCTTTCTTAGAAGTTCAGCTTCCTTGAGATGACTATGGAAGGTGCTTTTTTAACATAAGAAGGCTGAGGCAGGAAATGTCAGTGTCGCAGAAACACACTCGTCATGAAACTGCAGCAGTGAAAGTGCTGTGATTTTGTTCTGTTTCACATTTGTTTTGTCACTGGCTTTATTTTCCTGTTTGTACACAAGTAGGAATACAATGTGGTTTGTGTCTTTAACTGGGGTATAATTTACATGTAAAATTGACCATTTTTAGATGAAGAGTTTAGAAGTTTTTGGAATTTATAATGTTGCACAACCATGACCACCAATTTTATCCCCCCCCCAAAGAAACTTTGTATCTTTAGCTACACTAAATTTTCTATTGGTTCTAATTCCAGGCAACCACTAATTTATTTTCTGTCTTCTGCATTCGTCTCTTCTGGACTATTTATAAAAAATGAAATAGGTGGTCTTTTGTGTCTTCTTTTATAATGCTTTCAAGATTTAGAGATTTTGTCACATGTGCAGGTACTTTGTTCTTTTTTGCTGAATAGTATTCTATTATTGGATATGATAGATTTTACTTATCCACTCTTCAGTTAGTGGAAATATCTGTTGTTTTTACTTTTTGACTCTAAGTAGTGCTGATACGAACATGTATGTGCAAGTACTGATTTGATACCTGCTTTTATTTCTCTTGTGAATGTGTACCCAGGAGTGGAATTGGTGGCCATATGGAAACTACGTTGAACTTTTTTACAAATTGCCAAACTCTTTCCCAAGTGACTAAACCATTATACTCTCACTGTCAGGGCCCGAGCAGTTGATGTGGTTATTTTCTAATCTTAATTAGTCACCGCGCTGTTAAAATCAGCATCAGACTTCCTGTGTCACTACAATTTCCAGCAGTGTGGGGAAAAAGGAACACTGTGAATTGCACGGTCCTCTGTTGTGATTCCACCTTTTTTCTTTCACAAGTTTAAGATTCTTTGGGTCAACTCATTCTTTCTCATGAGCTAAGGACTGCTGCCTGTCCTAGGCAAGGTTACATTGCAGGAATTGAGCAAGTATATATCAAATGAATGGAAGAATGAGTGAAAGGAATCTTAGTGGCTTTGGCAGGGGCACAGAAGCATTTCATTTAAGCACATGCGCTCTTAACTCTTGCTAAGTAAGCAGCTAGGGTGATAAGACGGGAAAGCAGGAAGTTTAGCGCAGTCGTGGGAGCCCAGGGAGAAGAGGTGTACAGGCCTTACTTCTGCAGTGAGACTAACTCCCTGTGAGGCACCAGGTGAATAAAGGTCTCCAGGTTGCTCATCCGTCTAGCTTGGATGGCATCTGTGATAATCCCTTGACAAGTTGCTTGGTGATTACAGGAAACCATGCATTTAGAATTCTCAGTCAGCTGCTTTCTCCCCACCGCCCCGGCGTCCCCAGCACTGTGTCCTCGGTCTGCTCTGGGCTGTAACGCATTCCACTCAGTTGCACAGTGACTGGGCTCAGATGTAGTGATTTTACACGCATACACAACTTTCCTCACTCATAAACTGTCCCCATAGAAGCAACTAAAACTCACACTGGGGTATTCTCATCTTAAAAATGTTTGTTTGTTGTTTGTTTGTTTGGGTCAGGGTCCTGGGGGAGCTACTCTACCACAAGGAAGGATTTTACAAGTTCTTTACTCCATGCTGCTTTGCTACACAGCACTTTTTAGGCTGCTTGGTTTTGTTTTGTTTCACCTCCCAGCGTCTTCTTCTCTGTCCTTTTGTCCTCCCACCTGAACCCTCTTAGGAGCAAAATCCATTGCATTCCGTTTTCTGCTGCACAGCACCCTGAACACTCTTGTTCTTGGAACTCAGTTGATAACTATGACCTCAAGATCTTACTTCTCCTTGGATCGCCCAAGTGTCTTTTTCCCTTCTCAACAAAAACAATCCCATGCCTCAGAGAAATTCTATTTCTCTCCGTTAAGATAACAGATCTTCTCCATATGTCTTTCACATGTGAAAGTAACTTGGAAAATTACAGAGAAAGTGGGTGCCTAAGGAACGGAATATTTAACGTCCCTTTTTCTGGGGAAGAAAGAAGGGAGGTCTTTCTCTCTGTAATATGCTGGAGAATAGCAGTTTTCACCTGACAGTCATTGTATGTATCTTACCCTTGACTTGTATAGCCTGACATAGCTAGATTCCATGTTAATTTGCAGTTAGAAATTAAAGAAAGATGAGGGTCTTTAGGAGGCTGGGTCTGTAAAATGTATGTAATGGATCTGCGGGCAGCCACATTTTCATTCAAGACTAAGCTGAAGAAATCTATTTTAAGATATTTTGAAAATGCTTCTGACCAACAGAGAACAAATAAGAGAGGAGTAGTAATTGGTTCCAGATCTTTCCTGAGATCTTGATGTTCTGCTGGTGTCAGATATTAGGAAATGCTTTGTGTCCTCATGATACAATCCTCTTTCCACCTTTGGTTTCCCCTATACTAGCTGGAAGTGATTTCTGTTGCTTGTGATCCTAAGATTCGTAATGTAAGAAATACTTCCAAAGTGAGGGCTTATAGTTGTTAATACTATTAAAATTGTTCTAAGCTTCCAGGGAGAGGTTCTCTTTATTTTGCCTCCAAAACATGTTTTTGTGTTTTGTTTCATTTGATTCATGTGGTAATCTTCTGAAGTAGGCAGTGGAGGGCTTTCTACCCCCTTATTAGAGACAAGGAAATTGACAGAGGAATTGCTAGACACGGACTTGCTTACGTATTCAGTACTGGCAGACAGAAAAACAGGACAGAACTTGTGTGTGCTGCTGTGACACTGGGGGGGGCAGAGAAGGAGAGAGAGACAGTGAAGGAGAGGGAGGGAAGGGACTTCTAAGGGAAGTTCTAATTCAGTTATGTAAAAGGTGTAGTGCTGGAAACTGAGCACAGGTTGCACTTACCACCCATGTAAACTGACTAAATTATAGTAAAATTCTGATGGAGGATTTAAGAGGCACAAGGAAGCCAAAATAAATACAAAGCCTGAATTGTTCTGCTCTTAACCAAGTGGGTCGTATAATTTACACGGTAGGGAGCCTAAGTCAGGGACTCCATGTGATCCGACAGTAGAGATTTTGGTCAGAAGTGTTACTTCATCGCCATCTAGTCTCAGAAGTTACTTCATCGCCATCTTGACTTTGGTGTTTATTCCAAGTCCCTACGCACAGACATGGGCTGGGAGACAGCCACTGGCGTGTGCTGTGCCGCTGGTTTTCCTCGCTGTTTCTCAGCTCATGTCTCACATGTTACTGATTTTGAGGAAGACCAGGTACGTTCCAATTAGCTGCACCCACCTTTGTGTCACCGAGCCCACAAATCCCTTCGTTCTGCCTGTGCTGGGAAGGGGTACAGGACAGGCTTCTGTTAGTGGTGTGTGCCTCCTAAACCGCACTTCCTGAAATCCTGGACTGGCCACAGGCCTGGGCCTCGCCGCCCCTTCATCCTTTGGCAGGAGGTTCCCACACACCAGAATTTAGTTTTTCTGAAACAATCCATTTCATATCCCAAAAGACTGTTTGCAGCAATACTAAATATAGTGTTGTTTATTTTGACAAAATACCA